ATTTTTAAAAATTAGACTTGTTTCTAGTCCTTAAACATTAATTGAAGGTTTAACTCATTGCCTGAAAAGTTTGCAATTGTTTGACAGTGTAGCTCAGAATTTTGACAAAATAGCCATAAAATCAGCATGAGGACCTGAGTTAGTCTCCTAAACCCAGATGAAAATGTTGGACGTGCTTGTAATTCAGTGATGGGGGAGTTGGAACAGGAGGCTCTTTGGGGTCTACTGACCAGCCAGTGAAGTGTATGTAATTGGTAAAATTCAAGGCAATGCAAGACACTCTCTCAAAGAAGATGGATAGCCTTACTGCGGACAACACACAAGGATTGTTCCCTGATGTCCACACACCTGCATAGTTGCGCGCGCATGCACACACACACACACACACACACACACACACACGTAGAAGCTTGGCCTAAATGAACTACTCTCCCAACTTCTGGTTTTTTAATACTTTTTGTCCTGGTTTTTAACTTTATAAGTTGAATTGTATTATATACTCATTGGGGGTGGAGGGTCTAGCTTCTTTGATTAAGTGGTTGTGAATATAACTGTAGTGTGTTTGTTTTATTTTCGCTAAAGTATGTGTTGTTATGCCTCAGTGGAATGATGATGGACGTTTGCTTAGTGTTATTATGAGTGGTTTTACACATGTCTTTTCGTGAACACTGTGTACATTTCTTTTAGATACTACTTGGAGTAGGATTTCTGAGTCATAGGCTTATATGTCTTTTCAGATTTAATAGAGAATGACTATTTTCTGATTGTCTAATCCAGCATTTTCACATCCCCTAGTATTTAGTCCTGTCTCTCCTCATTTTAGTTAATGTATATAAGCTAAAAATCGAATAGAACAGAAGGATTTATTCAGATGTTAAGAATTTAACCCAGGACCTACTTTACCATTGAACCACAGCCTAAAGAGAAAAGGTTTTATAAAAATTGCCAAGTTACTGCTCTAACCCCTACTTGGCCACTCTAAGTCTCACTGTCTAGGAGAGAACATTTGTAATTATTTCTCTTTTTAACATCTGCTAAGTGGTGTAATTGTAGCTTCAGTAATGTTAGCTACTTTTGATTCAACTGTAATGTTCTTTACTGTTTAACTTCTTAAGATAGATGAATTAATGTATGCCCCTTCTTACCATTCCTCTGCCTTTTTCCAATACAAATATCACAGTTTTAAACTGATGGCATCTATAGTGTGTTAACTCTCACAAGCAGTTTGTTTTTCCTATTGTTTTCACTGTTGTGCTTGATGGATCATATTTTCCTGTTTGTTGGAATGTTTTGTGATTTGTTTAGTTTTAGGAACTCATGAGTACTGGGCTCTCCTACCCCAGTGCTCATAACTGCTGTTTCCTTGTTACCACAGTGACCTTTGAAACAGGATCTTACGTAGCCCAGGCTAACCTTCAATTAAGATCTGTGCTATTCGTCTAGGTGTACCAGCATGCTAGTTGTTAGCTTGTTTCCTAGTTGCTGTCTAGAGTGTTCTAGTACAGCATGTGTGTGCTTAACAGGGTAAGCTTCTGATCTTAAGTCTGTTGTTTCTGTCAGTGCTGCCAAGTGTAGATTGTCGTTCTTCAGACCAATCAAATTGAATACAGTGTGGCTCCCTCGCCATAGGTTCTTTAGTCGGTGCTTGATATTTGTTTGATCCCGGGAGAGATGCTCCCAGCCCAGGAGCCTATAGTCTTAGGGTGTATGTTCTTGAGCCCTTGAATCTTCAGTGCGTTTCCATAGTCTGTTGTGCACCCAATTCACTTTGCTGGGAAGAGATTTGTAGAGAGTTTTTTCCTGATCTGACCGTCTTCCTCCTCTCACTACAGTACTGTGCCAAGACTCTGAAGTAGTGGTGGGAAGAACCAATGAGGGACCAACAGTAGGCTTCTCTCTGGGAGACGCCAGCTTTAAGAACTGAGCGCTGGACTGCCCTGCACAGGCAGATGTGCTTTATTTAGCCGTCGTCACTGTGGAACGGCAGTCGGCCTCAGTGGTGTCTTCTCCGGGTGCTGTACCCAAGGTAGACATCTCATTCCACAAATCGAAGGACCTCTCTACTGCGTTGATGAGTACGAAGCCTTGTAACAGGCAGCTGGGGGACTGACAACAACACTGATCAGTCTTTCCCTTGTAGAGACAAAGCCCTTCACAGTCTGGAGCAGAGTCTGTCTCCCTGAGCTTGCTTATTTTAAGAAAGGGAGCCGTCTTGGTTCAAGCATCAGACTTGACTTTCTAAGTTTTTATAGAAATTTTTGAATAGATGTTTTTTCATTTACTATTTGCCCTTAGAACCATTTCAGAGATTTCGTTTTGTTTTTAATTTTCTTTAAAGAAATTTTTTTTTCACAGATTTTACGGGGGAGCAAGTTAGATGATCTCACTGTCCCCCTTAATTCCAGTCTTCCTAAGATTAGTATTTAAGTTTTCTGCAGTAGGAGGAAGTGCGGGAAGTTTGCTAAAGAAGGCTCATTTTCTGCAAGCCTGAGTGGGAAAACTAACATTTTTAGTTGCTAGGTTGGCAGGAGGTGGTAGAATAAAATGGAAAAGTAAAGGCCGAGTAGCAGCAGCCTGCTTTGTTGTTGAGCTTCCTACGGGCAGGGGGAGGCCTTGTCTTAAACAGGTTTGAAAGCCAAATGTTCTTTCTTCCTCCCCCTCCCCCCAAGATTCACCCTATTTATTTTTACTTTTTTTTTTTTTTTGTCTAAATAATTTTTTTTTTTTTTTTTTACATCCCTCCTCTCCTCCCAAACCCTCCCCTACCCGTCTCTGTTCCCACCTCCCAGTCCACTCTCCCTTGGTTTCTGTTTAGGAAAGGGCAGGTCTCCCATGAGTATCATCAGGGCTGAGTCTTTTGACTGGTTTGCTGATTGACAGCTTTATCCTTGTTCAGTGTATTCATCTTAAATGAAATGTATCCATTTTCTGATTTTAATGTACTTTATGCATAAACATCCTTAGCAAAACACTGTAGGCATTGATAAATTCAGATTGGACTGTCTATCATACACTGTTAAGTTCATGCTCCTGTGAGGATTGTGACGGGTTTTGACAAGGAGAATGGATTCTTGGGGTAGCTGTAATTTAGCTAAATAACTCACAGTTAAATGTCTAGAGAATGTAATGATATTTCTAATATTTTAAGAGTTAATAGATTTTTAAATGTTCTTCAGTAACTGTAAGGCTGATATGGTCAGAGATATGAGATATAACATTGTATTAACATATAATCTCATTTCTGATCTTTTTTTAAATCTCAAGGGATTTGGAATATGCCTTAGTCAAATGGCTTCAAAAGCAAATCAGTGCAATATTTTGGAGAAACTGAAGAGTTTTCTGCTTTCTATCTATCCTACTTTAAAACCAGGAGAAAACAATGAGCATTGTCCGTGTTCCTACTTCTTTCTTTAGTAGATTTTCCCTTTATTCATATTTACTGCAAAACAGTGTTCTTGGAGATAAACCACAGTACACTACTGATACACTCCAAGTGTTTAATTTTTAGTGTTTGTTTTTATAAATCATCTCAACAGTACTGAGATGCTGAACGCGTGAGACACTCTGATTTGTGAGGGGTACAGGCAGTTGTGAGATGAGGCCATATTAGAGATTGCAAGGCCTAAGTGGCCAGCACTTTAAAAGACTGTTAGAAAGAGAAAAGAAGCCAGTGCATTTAGTCTGCTGTGATCTGGGTTCTGAAGCCAAGTAGAAAAAAGAAGCCTGAGAACTGACATCCCTGAGGAGCCAGGAAAATAAACCTCCAATTGGAACCAAAGGTCCAAAGTTATGTGCATGGTACCTTCTGGGAGTGTGCAGTGACTTCCTAGACAGAAAGGTTTGTTGCATTCAGAGGATGTATGATTAGAAAGATGAATTGTGGCTGGGCATGGTGACATATGCCCAGGAGGCAGAGGCAGGTGGATCTCTGAGTTCCAGGACAGACGGGGCTAATTACACAGAGAAATCCTGTCTTGAAAAAAAAAACCAAACAAACAAACAAATAAACAAGAAGAGAGGGGAGTGGGGGAGAGATAAATCTTGGTGGACTTTATATATAAAACTGAGAATCTCAGTGTGAGAATCTCTTAGACTCCATCTTGCTAAGGTGTGTAGACTGGTTTAAATTCCTGAGTTCACATGATCAAGAGGCCCTAACCTCTTAGTTGCTGGGATTACAGGCCACCACACGCAGATGTCTAAACAGTAAATGTCATAGCTAGTGCAGACTGAAGGCCACAGAGCCTCAAGTCCAGTTTCTCTCATATTCTCTGTCCTTTGCATTAATGGAGGAATATGAGTTGTGGCTGATGTTCAAGTTTTGCTCTTTTTAAACTCCTACAGTTTATAACCAATTATTGTCCATCTCACAAGAAAAGGTCATTAATGATAACCATACAGTGTTCCAATAAGTCATAGCTGAGGTGTTCCATAGTTTCGGCTTTGATAAAGTCAGTTTAGCTTGAATTCTGGTTGGGCCCTGCTGTGTAAAGTTGAATCACACCTTTCATAATGTTTCTGAGCTTCACTGTCTAGAGAGGGGAGTGGGCAGTAATGCTCAGTGTGGAGTGTGAGCATTAAGATAACTCATATAAAGCAATTCCCATTGCCAGCAATTACCCTTGATGCTGTTTGTTATTATTTTCATTATGCATTAATCACTATCATCTTGTGTCCACTGACCATGCATTCTGAATTTTGATCATGTATTATAGGAACTTCTCATCTGATCTAAAGAATCTGTCTCCATTCAAATTTGAGGGCCTCTTGGGTTTCCCTTTTCTGTGTTCTAAGTCGGCTTTGTCAGTAAGGGTGTTCACAAAACCACAACTCCTGGACGATACAGAGAGGACACCATTGGCTTCCAGGCGTGTTATGCTTGATTTTTGTAGAGCTAATGCATTAAGTATTCTGTGCCTTTTGTTAAACAGGTAGGTATTAATTATGCTCTAAACTGTGATTACTATTCAGAAATTTAGACTTATCTTTCCTTTTGTCAGGTTTAAGCCGTTTTTTCCATACCAAGCCTTGCAAGGATTTGAAGAAGATGAGGAACTTATCCATATTCAACAGTGGGCACTTACTGAAGGCCGGCTTAAGGTTACATTGTTAGAATGTAGCAGGTAAGCTCTTTGTTTCCTCTTTATATGTGGACAAGAGAATGTAATAGAAATGTACTTAAAGACTGTTCATGTTTATTCTGTTTTTATGCTAGTTTATATTGTATTATTTTTTCCTTTAAATAGTTTGAACATAAATCTAATGAAAATAGTCTTTTCCAGTTTACAAAAATATAAATCATACTTAGAAAGACACTCGGAAATATTTATTTTGCAATACTTCCCAAGTTTTCACATACACAGTGCTATGCTGACACTTTTAGCTTATCCTTTTGAAGAGCATTTGTAGCACAGCAGTTTAGAGAATTATGATTAATAAAAATGCTCACTGAAGCCAGGAGGTGGTGACACCCAGCAGTTGGGAGGTAGAAGCAGGTGGATCTCTGTGAGTTCAACACCGGCCTGGTCTATAAGAGCTAGTTCCAGGACAGGCTCCAAAGCTACAAAGAGAAACCTTGTCTCAGAAAAACAAACAAACAAAAATACTTACTAAAGTGACTAAATCAGATTTTGAACCCTGTGCATTTGGAACTAGTCTTTCCTAGCCTCAATATTTTACCACCAGAATCCAAGATGTGTTCATTTCTTGCCTGAATTAATTGCTGTGCTAGCTTTATCACTCCTAATACTTTTGGTCCCCAGTATGACAGCCAGAATGACCTTTAAAATGCAAATCTAATTGTGGCTCTTCCTACTTAAAGAGGAGAGTTTATCTGTTGATAACCCGTAGAAAACAAACGGTTGCCTGAATTTGGACCATTACTGCCATTTTCAGGCTACACATCTTTTTTGTTGTTTTTGTTGTTTTGAGACTGGGTTTCTTTGTGTAGCCTTGGCTGGCCTGGAACTCACAGAGATCCACCTGCCTCTGCCTCCTGAGTACTGGAATTAAAGGCATGCACCACCACCACCCAACTACCCTAGACATCTTAAAGGAAACTCCTTGCTGACTGTCATCTGCCTTCTAAGCCCATACTGCCTCGTGCTTTTTGAAACGAGCCTGTCTTGGTACACTCAAAAGCTACCTCCTTAATGTCTGCTCAGCATTCAAATACAATACACTGCCCTTAGGCTACATTCTTGTGACACTTGATTGTACCGCTGACTACTTATCACCTTTAAATTTTATTTCTAACTCATAATACAAATAAGTACTTGAGTACTAGGGTTATATTTGTTCTTAATACATTTGAGTCTTTGCAAGTAGATTCATTCTGATTATACTGATTATATAATAACTCATTGCTGCAAGAGTTTTTCTTGTCCCGCCGGGTCCTGCGGCCACTTTGCCCCAAATGAACACTTAGCTAAGATGCTATATTAGTTATAAAGCTGTTGGCCAATGGCTAGGGCATCTTATTGACTAGCTCTGTCTTAATTATTAACCCATTTCTATTAATCTATGTATTTACATGTGGTTTTGGCTTACTAGAGAAGGGTCCAGATCTGTTACTCCTTTAGCAGCTACATGACATCTCTCACAGTCTCCCTCTGCCTACCTTTCCCAGAATTCTCGTCTGCTAGTCCTTCCTATCTTCCTGCCTCTGTTGGTCAAACAGGTTTTATTCTTCAACCAGTAAGAGAAACACATACACAGAAGGACATTCCCCATGAACTCATTTTCTTAAGTCCTGTGGTGACCAAGGATTGTGCTTCATTCTGTCAGAAAGTCTTGACAAGAAAGGGTCTTTAATTGAAAGGGGGAGGCCAAATATACCATGTGTATCATAAAAGGAACCATAGCATACACTAAAACAGATACAGTAGGTATAAGGCTATGTATTTAGGAAAAAAAATTATTTCTTCTGCCCCAATGTTCCTGGGGGTGTTAATGGTTGATTATGTGTCTGTTAGCGTGTGGCCATTGTCTCTGTCTCTGTTCATAGTCCTGCTGTGCTTAAAGCTGCTACTCACGTACTCAAAGGCTGTGTTAGCCATTGAGAAAGATTAGGTAGGCATTAGTGTAGGCCATGTTGAATTGAAATAAACGATACAAAGGAAAGCATTAGAATTTGTGGAATATTTGCAACTTTGTGTATTTTAATAAGGAACTGCTTGCTGAATCTCAGGGAGAGTATAGAAGAGTCCGGTAGACGTATTTAGGGGAGAGTGGGGGAGCTGGGTTTATGATGAGGGCCAGGGCCAATGTGACAGCCTGACTGTTCACTGTAAATGTTCTATATGCCTTTCATTTTTGTGACTGCCACCTGTCAAAAGTTAGATTGGCAGTTTTGTAGAGTGCAGAATTGAGTTAAAAGGGAAAGTAGGGAAAATAGTTTGTTTTATTGGTGTTCTTATGTTAACTCTAGCTCCTTGGGGTAGTAGCCAGTACTTTTAAGCCAGTGGTAGCTTCATATTTGGAATGGGTATCATCAAAATAACTTTCTACACTATTTTTATAAATATAAACAGATAAAAGTTAACTTTATGATAAAATGTCATTGTTCACATAGTTTAAGGATTAATTAAAAGTTTTTATATAAGGGAGAAAATAAGTTGCTCTCAACTCATCCTAGCATTTTTGTCTTAATATTCTTTCTGTATTGTATTACTTAGAAATCGCTAGACGAGAACACAGTATGAATATATGTTAGAAAGGGTGTTTACTAAAAGGCTGGCATGCGCAGTAGGGACGAGTTAGTTACAGTGGCTGGCTGCACTGAAGACCTGGATGGCGGCGGACACTCAGTCTGTGTGGGAAGAGTAAAGAAGCTGACTTGTGATGTCAGGGGAGGATGAGAGCGATGGTGTAGATGTTCTCACCAGTGGGGAGTAAAGCAGGCAAGCCAAAGCAGGGTTGCTTTTCACATATGAGCTGCTATGGGAAGGTGTTTCCTGCCCTGAGGGAGGGTCTCTCCCACTCTGGACCCACACAGAAGTGTGTCTTAGAGGATTCTAAGTTGGCAGCCAAGATTAACCATTGCATATATTCTATTATTTTTTTTAAAGATTTCTTTGTTTGTTTTCATTTTATGTATGTGAGGATTTTGCCTGCATGTAAGTGAACTGCCTGCTGCTGGCAGAAGCCACAAGAGGGTTCTAGATCCCGTGGAACTGTAGGTATGGGTAGCCAGCTGCCATGTGATGCTGGGAACTGAACCCAGGTTAGAGAAACGGCAGTTTCTCTTCAGCACTGAGCCAGCTCTCTGCCCACCGCCTATTCTTACTAAAGCTTATTTTGTTCCTTAGTATGGAATTCTTTTTACTTAATATAGAAATAGAACTTTCTATCCAGATAGGTTTTATGTGGGGTAACAGGAAGAACAGTGAAAGTGTGTCTTCTGCAGAAGGCGGCCCAGAAAATACTTAAAAATTTACATTTAGAGACGACGTGAAGGCCTAACACCTTTTGAGATAATTTTTACCATAATTACTTAGTGATATGAAAAAGGTTGTAATGAATAGAATATTCAAAAAAAGTTTAAATGCAAGACAGTTAACTAAAAGTGTTTTTGTAGACCATTTGAACATAAATAGTTAAAGTTCTAAATTGGCTTACTATGATGAATGGAAGTTTGCTGGGGTTTTAGTACACATACACATGTGTGTGTGCGCGCGCACACACACACACACACCAATAAATAAATACCAAAAAAAAAAAAAATATCTTCCAGGAATGGAATATGATACTCAAGATGCTCATTATCTGTGGTCAACCATGACTCTTGTAAGGACTTTATTTTTTAAACTATTTACTTTGAAATAGAGAAAAGGTTGTGTGAATAGTTCTTAAAGAATTTTATCTGTTTATTTTGAAGTAATTTTAGACTTAAGAGCACGCATGGAGGTTTTTATCCAACTAATATGTCAAAAGAGTTTGAGATAAATGAAAATATAAGATATATACTTACTGTTTAGTGTATGAGTGGTTTGCCTGTAGGATGTATGTGCATCATGTGTGTGTCTGGTACCTGCAGAAGTCAGAAAAGGGCGTCTGGTCCCCTTGGATTGGAGTCAGAGATGGTTGTAAAAGTCAAGTGTGGTTATGTTAAGAAGGTAAATCACCTCAAACAGAGCTATGTAGGGATCAATTTCCCTGCTACAAATGAAATTTAATTAATTTCTTAGTTTACTTTTGTTTTTTAAATTTAACTTTTTTAAACTGGCAGAGTGTTTGCATTATGTAACATGCTTTAAAATATGCATACATTATGGAGCTATTAGATGAAGGTCATTATTTTCCTGAGGTCCACATGTTTGTTGATAAATTACACATGTTGAAGAGAAAATAATTCTGTCTCTAAATTCTAAGAGGAATTTATCATATTGTTATGTGAAAGGTATTGGGTGACATAACAGATACATTGAGGAGCTGATTTTATCAACTGGTTATACTTTGAAAAACAAATTGAAAATATGACCAGTAAAGTTTTGTTGTGAGGGTACTGTACCCCAAAGTAGTACATTCAGGATGTTCTGTTCTCACTCTAAGTGGATGATGCTAATTGAGGTCAAATCCTCCCTGAGTCACATTTGTTCTGTTCTAAGGCCTGTGTTCTCTCAGCAGCTTTTAGGGTGCAGTTTTGTTTTATTGGCTTCTAAAAACATATCTTTGTTGTTTTCAGTGTTAAGTGTAACACACACACAGAAATCCACAGGCGTTGACATTCTCTTTTCCAGTCGCCTCCCTCCCCCATCCTTTCCTTGTTATTGTAATCTCAAGACTTCCAGTTTTTTTCCTTATAATTCCTTGCCATCTGTTTTAGTTACTTGTTGCTGTGATTGAATGCCCAGCTATAGCTACTTAGGGAAGGAAGGGGTCATTTTGGGTCACAGTTTGGGGGTACAGGCGTTCATGGTGAGGAAGTTACGTATGTGCAGGAGTGTGGAGTTACTAATCACATTGCATCAACAGGTGGAGGGCAGAGAGGAATGATTTGCTCAGCTCCCTTTCTCCTTTGTCCAGGACCCATGACCCATTGATTAGTACCACCCATATTTCGAGTGAGTGTTCCCATCTCAGTTAGCCTGACCTAGGAACTCTCCCTCATAGTCACAACCAC